CGTGCCTCGGATAGCATATAAAGCCGTTGGTCTTGCATTTGAATTCTTCGCTTCATGACGGATTACCGTACCTTTGGACTATGAGGCTAAAGCAATAGAGAGTGTATATGTGCTTGCGCACTTGCTCGTGCACTAAAATACTCTCCTGCACAGATGGCTAGTTTTCCTTGAGAATGGCCGCTGTGGTAGAAATTCATTTTGGAGGACATTATAAATGCTTTTATATCATATTCAATTTTGATTGTTTTTTTTATTAGAAATTTACAGAAAAAAATGTAAAAGCACTACGTAAGTGGTTCACAAAAATCTACACCTGTCCTCAATTTACAATCAAAATGCAGATGCGTTGCCATGCTAGTGAAACGGTTCTCCGGATCTTTACACTCACTATACGTAACAAAGCAGCCTTAAGCTGCTATTTCACGCTGGCATTCTGTGACAGCGCTGTCCTTGGTCGATCCGACCCATTCGTGCTCCAACCATAATATAGCTATAGTATAGCTCTATTACGTAAAATGTCTTAATATATTGTCATTTTGTCACACATTGTATTTAAATCATTATTTTTCTGGAAAACCTATCATCATCATAACAGTAAAGCAAGAACGGCCCCAGAAGTAAAACAACGGGATAATATTTGTTAAAATGTTGCCTTATTCTCTGAATGTTTGACATATCGGTTTCACAAGCTAAATTTTGAGATAATCAATGGATTACTATTAGGTAATGACCTAACATTAAATTATCATTTTGTTGTGTACCTTTTATAAATTAGTAAAATATGACAAAGTATCAAGATCAAACGAATATACTACACATAACTCTACAAACGCAAAGCCAGTCAGTCATAAAGCCATTGTTCCGAGCGTGGACGAAAACTTTAAATGTCAACAATTTAATCCGTGTACCGTGAACGCAGAAGTGCGTTCTCTGTTCCTTGCATAAATTACATAATTGTTATAACGTTTTAAAACAATAACACCCCGGATGTTTTTATTCGAAATCTATTGTATTATTAGCAATGCCCTGTGCCAAAAATCGAGACTATATTGGAAGTGAGAGTAGGCTAACAGAAAATGACAAAAATTTGGTTCTACTATAATTTTTTTGGATATTTGCTAATTTATACTAATTAATACGTGGTAGAGCCATGCTGCAGCTATATTAGTAGTATAGTTGTAGCACGAATGGGTCGGCTCGTCCGGGGAAGGACCACGCTCTCACAGAATACCAGCGTAAAATAGCAGCTTAATGCTGCTGTGTTTCGTATGGTGAGTGTAGAGAACCGGAGACCCTTTTTACTAGAAAATAGGCATTGTATCTTAGTCCTCACGGCTGACAACGCATCTGCATTTTAATTCGCAAACGAAGATAGATGTAGATGTCTATGGGCCACAGCAACCACTTACCATCAGGTGGACTGTGTGCTCGTTTGTCACCCTATTTCTATAAAAAAAAAGACAAAAATGACAAAAATTTGGTTCTACTATAATTTTTTTGGATGTTTGCTAAGATATTTTAAAACTTCTTTCTTCAGCTCATATTTTCAAATTCACCACACTTGGCAAATAATTTTCCGATCGCAGTACTAGATGTCTTGTATCTTTGACTACTCCCTGTAGCCGGTCTAGATATTTACGCCTGTTATATACATAATATATAAGATTGCATACCACCATCATATTGGTTAACACGTCTTATAAATTTTCAGCAAGATAGATTAAACCCACAAGATATATTTTAACACGCGGCAGCTTTTGCTGCTTGTGGGCCGGCTCGAACCGGGGTGTGGTACCACAGAATACTAGTATAAAGTAGAGGTTTACCTCTGCGTTTCGCTTGGTGAGTGCAGGTGGTCGGAGGCCCAATTGTCAAAAATCAAAAATGACCTCTTATCCGGACGGATATCAGGTTTTAATTGACGCTCCTTTAGGCTTGTCGGACCATTGTCTTGTCCGGAGTGTGGTGCCACTCACACTAACGTCGCGGTTGCATTCTGCAGGCTGCCGTCGTGTTTGGCACTATAGGTGGGCTGATTGGGATAGGATGCGGTCTTTTTTGCATCTTGGGGGGCGGGTTAGCTTCTCGCCGGAATATCGCAGCGTTGTTGCTGATTCTGTTGCTGATGTGGTACTTCAGGGTATGAAACTTTTTATTCTATCCTCTGTGGAGCCCATCGGAGGCAGTTCCCAGCCATGGTTTGGTCGCGACTGTAAAATAGCATTACGCTATAAGCAGAAGTACTACCGGGCCTGGGCTGACGCATCAACGTCTCGTGATGTACACACCAGCGCTTTTAAAAAGAAGTATAATTCCGCCTCCAGGTCCTTCAAAAGAGTCATTGCAAAGGCAAGTTCTGAGCACATCAGCAGAATTGGCGAGAAGCTAGTTCACCTTCCTTCGGGAACCCGTGCATTTTGATCTCTCGCCAAGGCTGTCCAAGGGAACTTCTGTCAGCCATCTCTGCCATCTCTGCACAGAGAGGACGACTCACTGGCCTATGCCGCAAAGGAGAAAGCCGATCTGTTAGGCTCTTACTTTGTGTCTCGACTCTCAATGACGGGGGGAACACACCGCCGACCACCCCGCGGTGTGAGTGCTGCTTGCCGTATGTCCGGTTTACACAGCGCTCGGTTCGCAAAGCACTCTTCTCCCTGGACGTCAGCAAGTCGAGTGGGGCTGATGGAGTCCCTCCCTTTGTGCTGAAGATGTATACTCCGGAGTTGGCACCGGTTTTAACGCATCTTTTCCGGTACTACTACTCCCAAGGCGTAGTCCCGAATTCATGGAAGACAGCTTTGGTCCACCCGTTCCCTAAAAAGGCGACCGCTCAGACCCGTCCAACTACAGGCCTATCGCCGTCACCTCCTTGTTGTCCAAAATAATGGAGTCCATTATAAACTGCCAGCTCATGAGGTACCTTGAAGGTCACCAGCTGATTAGTGACCGCCAATACGGTTTTCGTCGAAGTCCAAGAAGGAGGCATTGGCCCTTAGTTTGGACATAGCGAAGGCCTTCGATCGGGTCTGGCACAAAGCATTTCTTACGAAGCTCCCAATGGGCTTCCCGAGAAATTGTGCAATTGGATCACCAGTTTCCTTGCTGATCGGAGCATCAAGGTCGTAGTAGACGCTGTATGCTCTGATTACAAGCCTACTACCGCTTGTGTTCCACAAGGCTGCGTGCTATCACAAACGCTGTTTCTTATGCATATTGTAACACTATATATATATATATATATACACCCGTGGATATGTGTCTCCGGCAACGCCCTTCATATAAGCAATCATTACATGAACACACTCCGGTAGTACAAGAACACCCTCATTAACTTAGACAATTTTTGACCCATTTTTCAATTATATTACAAATGTTATTTATCTTTATTATTGAAATATAATCGACTTGTACTTGTATTAGGTATTTCATACATTTTGAATATTTTAAGCAGTTTTAATCAATTTAGAGTAATATGGTTATCCGGTTAATATGGTCACTTTCTTATAACTCAAAGACTACAGCCTTGTTTCCATAGACAGCTCTGTGATACTATGGCTATTCAACAATCAATCAAAAAATAAAGGGTCAAAAGGGCGCCGCTTTATGGACGCCATTTTGTAAAAGTCCACACACACATAGATCTCTCCCGCTGTAGGAAAGATTTGCCTTCATTGCCAGTGTAGTGCCAGACGTCTAGCATAAAAGAGATGTTCACCTTGCTGAAAGCATGTGAAGCTGTTGGTCCTGCGCCTGATCTCTCTCCGGTCGTGTCAGATTACCGTCCCATCGGATTATTAAAGTGAGGGAATAGAGTGCATAAAAAAAGCGGAATTATTCATGTCGCAGTCACGATGCGCTGCAGCTTGGCTCTACAACGTAACGCGATTATCTATACATATAAATAAAATTGAAGTGTCCTGTTTATAATGTGAAAAAATAACAATTTTTTTTTACCAAATGCATATGCGGTACGTATAACAAGAAAACAATTTTTCAAATTTTGTCTGTCTGTCGGTCTGTTTGTTCCTGCTAATCTCCGAAATGGCTGGACCGATTTTGACAAGACTTTCACTGACAGATAGCTGATGTTGTAAATAATAACTTAGGTTCTATATCTTCGAAAAAGAGTTAGGATTCCGCGCAAAACATTAAAACCCATGAAATCCAATCGTAATAAATTCCACGCGAACGAAATCGTGGCGAAAAGCTAGTGTGTTAATCTATACAAACAAATAAAATTGAAGAGTCTGTGTGTAGTGTCAAAATTACAGCTTTTTACTCAATGCATATGAAAATATATACGATACTTGTAACAAAAATACAATTTAAAAAAATGTTGAATGTCTGTCTGCCTGTTTGTCTGTATGTTCCGGCTAATCTCCGAAATGACTGGACCGATTTTGACGGGACTACATAGATACAGATGCTGATGTTATAAATAATAACTTAGGCTACTTTTATCTTAGAAAAAGAATTAGGGTTCCGCGCAAAACATTAAAAACCCATGAAATCCAATCGTAATAAATTACACGCGGACGAAATCACACAACACTGCAACTAAATGGACGCATGTCTTTTGTTATCCGTGACGATGACGATGCTTCCACGGTTCTCTTATAGGGCGACAATATCAGAGCACAGTTGGAAGTTTTTAAGTAGACTAGACTATACTAGATAAAAGTACTCGGTGGTGTTTTTTGTCTAGGAGTATGTCTGGGCAGGTACTAATCTCTTACATATTTCTGGCCGGTAAATAGCAGTGCTTGTTATGCTGTACCTATAAAGAGAGCTAGTATAATTACGAGCTGTGGCTTTCCATCTTAGTCCTCAGAGGTGACAGCAGGTCTAAGTCCTCTTTATTTGAATTTGGCTTCAGATGTCCATGAAGTGCAGCGTTCACTTACCATTAGACGGACTGTTTCAATTTAAAAAAAAACTTTTTTGAAAAAGGTTTATAATGATTGAATATCGTATAGTAATTATTATCCATTGGTGTACAGGTGTGTTCCGAGAGCAGTGCTAGTGAGTCTTCGTTGGAGTCATCCAGCGGTTATGGAAGTCAAGGTGCGTTCGCTGCCGAAGATCATGGACACCAGCATCAAATACAACATCCCGATGGTATTAAGTTTACTGTTTAGTACATATGAAATGTATATATGCGTAGGACAGTTCAAAAATGATTGTAAAACTGTATGCTATTTTTGTCGTGTGTATGTGTGCGTGTGTGTGCACGAAAGCCAGTTCTTAATTAAGTTTTGGATTTGCTAATTAATTTCTTTTTGTTTACGATTTTTATATAATTTTTGGTATTATATCAATTATTTAAATTTTTTTTATAGTGCTCGAAATGCTTAGTTAATAGAAATTTGATTTTTTTGCATCATTTGTAGTCTTTTTTAATGTGCTTTGCATGCGATTGTTTTGCGACATACGTACAGTAGATTCGGAGATCGTGACGTTGAGACGCGAATGTGACGCGTCAGTCGCAGCGGCTAGGGAGAGCTTCTCGATATCCCTCGGGAGCCTCGAGGAGGCCGTCAGGTCTCTGGACGAGGTCAACGAGACGCCGAATTACGCGACCATCGGGAAGAAACCCGCCGTTCCCAAACGGCGGCCATTGTCCATGACAGGTAGGTGTGTGCTTTGGAGTTTGTTTTGATGTGATGTATAGTCGAGCGACTTAACGAAATCTAATGGTAAGTACTGAATTTATTTCAGAACGTGTAGTTCAGAAAGCTGTAAGGATATTCACTACCCTTTGTTGTCGCGTGTGTGTCGTAAGACGACATAAGGGAAAAAATCAGGAGATGGCGAGCACCATCTTGCCTTACTATCACATATAATAATTTAAATTTAAAAATTTGTACAACCGACTTCAATATAAATTATTAAGAATAACTCAAAAACTATTGGTCACACCTTGATCAAATTTATATACGACCACATGTGAAGCACCAGCTGTCAAATAAAAAAATAATCATCGAAATCGGTTCACGTAGAACAAAATTATAAGGTAAGGGTAATTAATACACAAAAAAAACATACAGTCGAATTGAGTACCTCCTTCTTATTGAAGTCGGTAGGAAATTAATGTTTGTTTGTTCGTATTTTACCAATCAACAAATTTATTTTAAAGTTAAATATGATTAAACTTCAATGAATGTATTATTACTCCTAATTAAACAATATATCTCTTCCAAATTTAAAACTATATTTCCACAATTATTTCTTCTGTAGCAGCAAAGCGCCAGTAACAAGTAAGAAAATTAAAAATTGCGGTTTCAACCCGCCTGCCGTAGTTGCCAACCGTGGCAACTACGGCAGGCGGGTTGAAAATATCTCCCCTATGAGGTAATCTATGAGGAGGCAACAGTGAACTTTTGATAGCACACCTCACTGCATGTAGGGTTACCATATCTCAGGATTTGTCCTGAGATTTCAGGATTTTTAGACTTCTCAGGATTGCGGCTGGATTTTGCAAATCTCATGAAATCTCAGGATTTTAGAACTTTCAATATAATACAGCTTACATTTTAAAAGATCTCTTAATAAAAAGTTAAACAAACTAAAAATAATTTTCCTTTGGTAATAATTCCACAATTAAAATCAAAACTTATTTATTCAAGTAGGTACTTAAACAGTTTTATCATACTTAATATGTGAAGATACCTTTTTAAGTAAGGTTTTCTTCTCAAACTGTAAAACAATCTCAGGATTTTTAAATGGAAATCAGGCCTCTTCTCCGGACTTTTAATTTTTTCATCTGGTAACCCTAACCGCATGGAAGTTTTCGATATCTTAAACTAAAGCAGAAGGTTTTATTCGACATCCTTTATATTAGATCTTTCGCCTAAAGAAATGAGTTTTTTTTTTATAGGAGAGGGGGCAAACGAGCATGCGGCTCGCCTGATGGTAAGTGACTACCGCCGCCCATTAACAACTGCAACACCAGGGGAATTGCAGATGCGTTGCCGGCCTTTTAAAAAGGTGTAGGCTCTTTTCTTGAAGGTCCCTAAGTCGTATAGGTACAATGAACTTGCTAAATAAGTATATCTGCATTCTCATTTAAACAGTGTTTTTGTCATACAAATGGATTAGCTAATAAGAAAAAAAAATACAGATAAAAGAGGTTCAACTTCGTTCGCTTTCTACAATCGTTGATGCAAATAGAAAACTATAAAAATGAATAGTAATGACCGACATCTCCACGTTAAGTCACGGAACAACGTTGATTTCATTCATAAAGTTAAAAAGTTAAAGTTACAAACTAGCAACTGGCCTTGACTCAGTGCAGGTAACATTAACAAATCTTTTTACAATAGTTTTCTAATTTTACCATGTGGTGGTGGTGTTGGAATATCCACTACACCATATAGTCCCGTGGATGTCGTAAGAGGCGACATAGGGAAACTTCAACAGGAGATGAGTGGCAGCATGTTCCTGATAACAACTTAAAATAATTATAACTGCGGTTGCCCACGCGCCTGCATGTCGAAGCCACTATAGCAAAATGCCCATTTATAAGGCATTCTTTGGGGAGGACCTGTGTCGAGCAGTGGACTGTTATAGGCTGTGACGGATGGAAGTGGAAGAACATAAAATATGCGTTTATCTATACAAATAAATAAAATTGAAGTGTCTGTTTGTAATGTCCAAAATAACAGGTTATTACTAAATGCATATGAAAGTATATACGGTACTTATAACAAAAACACGATTTTTAAAAAATTTCTTTGTTTGTTCCGGCTGATCTCCGAAATGGCTGGGACGATTTTCACTGGCAGATAGTTGATATTATAAGGAGTTACTTAGGCTACTTTTATTTTAGAGAAATAATTAAGGTTCCGCGCAAAAAAATAAAACCCTAAATTAGGTACTCGCGGGCAAAGTCGCGGGGAACAGCTAGTTATACCACAGAATAAATAATAGTACTAAGTTATACATAAAAACCTTCAGTAATTAATTATTTATCATTTCAAAACCGCATCTAAACCTATCGAGTAGCTTAGTGTTGAGCGATTAGAAGGTTAGACGGGGATAAGCGACTACGTTTTATCAACCGAATTCAAACAGGAGGAGGTTTTCAATTCGTCGGAATCTTTTTTTTTAATGTAGATATGTTTACCGATTACTTAAGACGCATGAACCGATTTGGAAAATTATTTTTTTGTTGCAAGGGGTATATTTCCCAGGCACGTACTCCAAGGCAGAGAAGGAGCCGCACCGTCTAGTGAAAGTTTCATCAAGTTTCTGAAAGAAAGAAAACTTTATTTGTCATCACACAGAAAAAAATAACGCGAGATAAATAAATAAAAAATATCAGAGAATTTGTGTGAAGTCAAATTAGGTCCACTATTTCAGCCAACTGCTGCTGTACTAAATGACATCAGCGCTGATTTTCAAATAGAGCCTAATATTGAATTCACGGACGGACACACGTTACTTAAAACTAAAAATTAAAAAAAAATACATTCAGAGAAGTGAGTGGGGGAGAAAATCAGCATTTCTGCATTTTGATTATTTATTATTACAGATCGACATAGGTGTTTATTGACCACGGCATTCACTTACCGTCAGGTGCACTGTGGACTTTGTCAACCTTACTTCTACAAAATAATGTTTGTACTTTCAGCGACAGTCTACTCACGGCGCGGCTCGTCCAGTTCCTTAGGAAAACCGCCGCCGCCGGTACGACGCTCCTCTTCCATTTCGCGACCTCAGAGACCTCCATATGTACAGGTGAGTGTACTACATACTTAAAGGTAAGAGAAGGTAGGAGTTTTATTTTTTCTCTTTTAGTCCCATGTCATGTTGTTTTACATTAGTTTAAGAAATTATTTAAGTTTTTCATAAGCCGATTCTTTTTGTTCAGTAATTATTTTGTCTTTCACATAAACATCTAAAATTGAGGAGAATGAAATATATTATTCGAAAGGTACTGTGTCATCGACGGGAACAAAAAAATCACGTGTGTTTGCTACTGTCAAAGCAGGTTTTTTTATAGGAGAGGGGGCAAACGAGTATGCGGCTCACCCGATGGTAAGTGACTAGCGCTGCCCATGAACAACTGCAACACCAGGGGAATAGCAAATGCGTTGCAGGCCTTTTAAAAAGGAGTAGGCTCTTTTCTTGAAGGTCCCTAAGTCATATCGCTCCGAAATAATCTCTGATGGTAATCGATTCCACAAGGAAGTTGTGCGAGGAAGAAAACTTCTAAATCGCACAGTGGTGGACAGCCAATTATGGGATGGTATTGCGAGTTTTGTCGCGATGTGCGATGGTGAAATTAAAGGTAAAAAATAGTGAACATATACATGATTGTTTCACACAAAACGCTTTAATTAGAGAGTATCTAGGATCCCTTTCTATTCCCTGCACGGGAAAGTATTACAAAAAAAAAATGTTATACCAACTAATACTGTACTGGCATTGTTTCCGCACAATGATATATGCTCCATGACACTTTCTGACACCAGGGCGGCACCACTTAGGAATGAGGTGAAATATTTGATAGATTTCATAGAGGTCCCCCTCTAGAGAGAGAGAGAGAGAGAGAGAGAGAGAGAGAGAGAGAGAGAGTTAGTTAGAGAGTTAAAAGTGTAGAGATTTTTTTTTCTGAAACATAAGCTATATTTTATATTGATTAGATTAGAAATGAATAAACCAAACTACGAATATTCCTAGAAGCGGAAGGTTCTAAAAAATTAAATATAAAAAAGGAAGTATACAGCACTGAGGCATTGTTTTGTGCATGCATATACACAAAACACTAGAAATGGAAAAAACTTATAATTAGATTGCAGCTTTACACCTTAGTCCCAACTAGTGACATCTGGTGATCGTAAGATTGTTAGCTCTCGTTAGTCGAATTTCGGTTTCGTCTGTTAAGCCGATAAAAAATAAACAGATTTTTATATCTGATATTCTTGTTATTTGTTTCAGAGCAACATGGCGAGTCCCCAGATGAACATCACCGACGCGGACAATTTGCCACCGCCGCCGGCTTTCTTGTTGCAGCCCGATAACGAATTGAATACGGGTATGAGTTTAACTCATTATTTTATTTATAACTAGCTGTTCCCCGCGACTTCGCTCGCGTGTTAGGGTTTTTATGTTTTTGCACGGAACCCTCATTCTTTTTCTAAAATAAAAGTAGCCTAAGTTACTCCTTATGAAATCAGCTATCTGCCAGTGAAAGCCTGGTCAAAATCAGTCCAGCCGTTTCGGAGATTACCCGGAACAAACAGACAGACAGACAAAAATTTTAAAAATTGTGATTTTGTTATAAGCACCGTATATACTTTCATATGCAATTAGTAAAAAGCTGTAATTTTGACATTACAAACAGACACTTCAATTTTATTTATTTGTATAGATATAGATTATTGCTTGATAATTTATCTTTAGAAGCTATTCATCATCATCATCATCATTACAGCCCTTCACAAGTCCACTGCTGAACATAGGCCTCCCCCAAAGAATGCCACAAAGCACGGTCCTGAGCCACCTGCATCCATCGACTTCCTGCATATCTTACCAGGTCGTCACTCCATCTAGTGGGGGGACGCCCTACACTTCGCCTGCCGGTACGAGGCTGCCACTCGAGAACCTTTCTTCCCCATCGGTTGTCGGTTCTTCGAGCTATATGGCCGGCCCATTGCCACTTCAGCTTACTAATCCGTTGGGCTATGTCGGTCACTCTGGTTCTACTGCGGATATCCTCATTTCTGAGTTTATCACGCAGAGAAACTCCGAGCATAGCCCTCTCCTTAGCTCGCTGAGCGACCTTGAGCTTCCTCATCCGGCCAGCAGTGAAGGACCACGTCTCAGTTCCGTATGTCATCACTGGCAACACGCACTGGGTGTACAGTCTCGTTTTCAAGTTTTGAGGTATACCTGACGAGAAGATGTGCCGTAATTTCCCGAACGCTGCCCAACCGAGTTGAATCCGTCGATTGACCTCTCGGTCGAAGTTGGACTTACCTAGTCGGACTATTTGTCCCAGGTAAACATACTCGTCAACAACTTCGACCTTAGTGTTCCCAACAACTACCGGCATAGGTGTGACATGGACATTAAACATGATCTTTGTTTTGTCCAAGTTCATCTTAAGACCTATCCGTTGGGAAACACTATTGAGGTCATTGAGCATAGTGCTTAGGTCCTCCAGCGATTCTGCCATAAGGACTATATCGTCGGCAAATCGAAGGTGAGCTATTCGTACTTGGTAAACTAATAAATTGAAATATCGTTTATAGACGCGTCACCAACAGTATGCGATAATTACCAGGAAGGTGAAAAAACTTTTCCTAATTTCAAAGCACACACAACTGCAAAAGCTTTTAGTAAAACAAAAATCATTTGATTGTTGATTATTTTTTTATTAGATTAATTTTAGGGCAAGAAAAGAAAATGTCCGCCGCGGTGCAAGTAACAAATTCATCGGTGCCGACTGTGCTCGAACCCGGGCTGCTTGCGTAGTTTGAAATTTGCAGTGAGCGCTAACCATCTGAGCTACTATGGCTCGTTCATGTGTTTACCAATTTTTAGATAATATTACATTTATTTATATAGTACATTTATTTCTATTCTATTTTTATAAAGTTTAATATTTATCATGTTATTGATAAACATTTTATTAATAAATAAATAATTATTAATCTAATAACCATAATAAAACAAAATTAATATTAAATACATAACCATTATTTTCATCTGTTACCCAAGGACTAATCAACTAAAAAAGTCCAGGACCAACAACAACAAACGATACGACGCGACCTTGAGCTTGGTAATACCAACAAAATAAAACAAACTAAGAAGCTGTTTGCAAAATACGTAATAGGTATTTTTACGTAAGCCCGCAAAGCTATATTTTGCAAATGTTTGTAAAATTAATTTTGTGACTACTTCGGTGGTTTACCAATTTATAATTTTATTTATTGTTGAAAAAAATATTCAAACAAACACTGACTTTGTAGTTTTGAACTCAACACCGACACGTATGACATAAGTAATTAGTATTGTAACGAGATTTGAAATCACGGGCCAACTTGCGTTTCTAATACCACCGAAAACAAAATTGCGTATTTTGAATAATTAATTACTATACCTACAATAAATTATAATATATTGTATTATATTGGAATCAAATACATACTAGAAATATTACAAATTGAACCAATGAAAATCATACAAAAATATTATATAAATCTCAAGAAATTCCGCGCGCAAATCCTATCCCTTGACAATAGAGATTTATAAAGAATGTTTGAATTTTATTACAGTCAAACAAGACAAGGAAGTTTGGCATCGCTTTTTCTTCATGCATCTAGTTCAAGATTAGGAAGTACGGCATCGTTGCATAATATCTACCCACAAATAATGGTATTTGTTGGACAACAATTTCGTTTGCACACCATCTAGCGTGCCAATGTTTAAAGTATGTTTTGGCGCTTTTGCTTGTCAAATTATCAAAATTCACTCACACTACTAAAGAAGTGTCAAAATTTTCCTAGATTTCACTATTGTTTTTCTCAATAAATACTGTAATTTATTTTCTAAGAAGGTCAATCGCGAGCACATTTCAGTGTAGAAAAGTGATAAAATGATTCGTTTTAAACAAATAGTGTCTGTGTTTAACGTATATAGGTATAAGGGACTGTAGTGGACTGTATGAATTTAATGTATAAAACTGGTTGACTGACTAATTACTACGCTAGGGACTGCTTAAAGGAAATATGGTACTGTAGACTATACTGTATTCAAATATTTATAAATGCGGCACTAATAAACTATATACAGAGAGTCTTCACTCTTCAATCTTCAACGGAGTATCTCTTGATTTCTCTTGATGCTTCTTCTCTTGCTGTTGTCTTCGAGTGCCGCTTCCGAAATGGACTGCCGAAATGAACACCTCACAGACCAAAACGCCCTTCTTATATCCCGCAAGAGAGCGTCTCAGTACGTGAGTAGCGTCGTAAGGCGATGCCGCGCGCTGATAGGTCGGCGACATCGCGTGATCTGTTGCCGGTGTGCGGGGTGCGCGGGGCGCAACGGGGTGTGAAGGGGCGACGGGGCAGCGGCCTCCTTCGCCGTCCGTAACAACAGGAAAAATGTATGGCGCGGCTATCGGAGGATCCCCCTTAAGAACTGCTTTTTACAAGTTTAATTGCCTTGTGGTGCGGTATGAAAATCCACTACTTCATATCATCCCTGTTTTGTAGGAAACGACAGAGGGAAACTGAACCAGGGAATGGGAAGCAGCATCTTCCTGATAACAACACTAAGTAACAAAACTGCGGCTGCCAACTCGCTTGCTAACCGTGGCATCTAGGACCAATATTTTATTTATTTAAAACTATAAACAAGGTAAGGCAATCTATATGCGGAGGCCTTTGCTTAGCCGTGGACTTGTGATGGGCTACTGTGAATGAATATATGAATAGAAATATAATAGAAGAATAGACCGCCCGTCACAGTCTAACAAATGTCCGCTGCTGAACGTTGACTTCCTCATAAGGAGGATTTGGCCATAGTTGCCACGCTTGGTAGCAGGGATGGCAACCGCAGTTTTCTTATTATTTTTTAATTGTTATTAAGATGAAGCTGCTGTCCATCTTGTCTCGGCTCGTTTCGATCTGTCGCCTCTTACGACTGACGAGACGATATGGGATAGTGGATATTCTAACACCACCACTACACCGTCATAGAGGAGTGGAAGAATAGAAATAATTTAACAATTTGTTCCCAGCTCACCCCGGTATAAACGTGGCCGAAACCGTGAAGCAACTAACCGAATTGAAACACATGCCCGCATCGCCGGGATTGGTACGACGCACTGTTCAGAACCAAAATCAGAACCTGACCGTCAACGCGAATCAAACTCAGAACCAGAACCAGAACCAGTCTCCGTCCCTGACCACGTTCCAACAGGCCAAGAGTAATATAAATGCCAGCTTAAGCGGAAACTTGAATCCGATATACGGACAGACGGGCCATCGTATAATGGCGTACGTGGAGAATTCCGTATATGTGAGGAAAAGCAGCCTCAATGTGTCCAGTACGGATCTTTTCAGGGATGGGAATACTGGTGAGTTAATTTTTGATTTTTTTCTTCATTTTCACTAACCTTCAAAAGTCCATTGATCATGGACCTCTTCATTTTTTAACTAAAATGTGTACAACCCAGTGCTTAACTACTATCCTACCTGATGGTAAGGAGCGATGGAGCCCTTGATGGTAAATCGCACTCTATAGTCAATACAAGAAAAGAGCCTACTCCTTTTTAAAAGGCCAGCAACGCATCTGCAATTCCCCTGGTGTTGCGGTTGTTCATAGGCGGCGGTAGTCACTTACCATCAGGTGAGCCGCATGCTCGTTTGCCCCCTCTCCTATAAAAAAAAATACAAATAAATAAAATTGAAGTGTATGTTTCTAATGTCAAAATAACAATTAAAAGCACTTATAACAAAAAAAAAAACATTTTTTTTTAATTTTTCTCTGCTTGTGCCGACTGATCTCGAAACGGTTAGACCGATTTTGACTTGACTTTCACTGGCAGATAGCTAACGTTATTAGGAGTAACTTAGGCTACTTTTATTTTAGGTAAAAAGAATTGGGGTTCCACGCAAAAAAATTTAAAGCTGTAAAATCCATTCGTAATAAATTCCTTGCGGTCGAAGTCGGGTGTAGAATAATCGTTTAGTGGCGGTGTAAGAATATCCACTACCCTATGTCGTCCCGTGGGTGTCGTAAGAGGCAATATAGGGAAACTGAAACAGGAGATGTGACAACTCGCTACCTACAAACCCATCTGCCAAACGTGGCAACTATGGCAAAATCCTCCCTATGAGGCATTTTATGGAGGAGGCCTATGTTCAGCAGTGGACTTTTATAGGCTGTAATGGATAGACGATGAGTGTGAAATAAAATAATCCAGTTTTTTTTTCACATTTAGGAAACATTTACGGCGAAGGAAAGGGATCGCCGCATGGATCCAGTCCCTCTACTCCGAGCTACGGTGAGAACAACTCATTCTCCAGCTTCGGACCCAGGGTTACCAACGATTCTCATTATGGTCAAACTGGTAAGATTTTTATTTATTGTTTGCGCTTAATGGTATGGTATTATGGGGTCACTATAAATGCATTTAGTGCTTTAAACGACGCGTTTTGTGTGTAACATTAAATCTCATTTAATTTACTTGTGATTGTTGTCATTTATTGGAACTTCGTCATCATTGACTCTAGGATCGACATGTAATTTGTATTATTTGATTGTTATTGTTTGTTTATTTATATACTAACGATCCGCCCCGGCTTCACCTAATATATGTTTATTAATGTGGCGTAATTTAGATTTAAGTTAATCAAAGACCATTAATTACTTGTTTCCTTTTTCAAAAAAAAAAAACCAGAGGCAGTCTTAAATACGTCACGAGCATGTCGAGGTCATCGGTGACGCGAACCCATAAGTTTTTCCCTTACCAAAAATCGCTTAACGCGGCTGAAGAAGTTTTCACTTTAAAAATCTCAGTAAAAATAAAGTTTCTCCAATAACATATAGCCTAGATTCCTCCTGACATTGCTCTCTATCTGTTTGTACAGTTTCATCACGATTGGTTCAGCCATTCCGAATATTTGCCCGTACAGACAGACAGACTGACAAGATATTTTATGTCATATCAATGGCTTGCAAATGACCCCCTCGGCGTTATAGAAGCCAGTTATTTCAATTTTATTTATTTGTATAGATATAGAAGAGTACGATGTGTAGGTATCAAAACATTACCTCACTTTCTGCAATTGTACAGCGTATTAGTACTAAAGCGGGGAGAATTTAAGACAAACAATTTATGTCCAACCGTGCAAATGTCTCAGCAGACATTGATCGGCGCGTCTCCGTGGTAAGAGAGATTTTTCTAGAGAGACTATAATAGAATAGAATAAAATCAAACTATTTTTACGGATTCTATCGCGTTTAATTAACTTATTTTTTTATTGATTCCCGACGTTTTGGGTACTTTACAGCACCCATGGCCATGGGGGACTGAGGTGATTGACGTCCCGATGTCAGAGTTAACCCGGAGTACCTTCAGCTTTTTAATTATTAATTTTGGTTCTATCTACGCAAAATGAACTTACTGTGTCTTGCAGTGGTATGCTTGGGTTTAGTTTTAATTTTATAAATTACAGGATCCAAAGCAGGTGGTAGTACCCAGCCTCCCTCTGTATTGAAATTAGGATGTTTTTTAATTTCAATAGCCTCCCGTATCATCCTTGGCAGGAATCGATGTTCTTTCGCGAGAATTTGTGGTTTATCAGATCTAATGAAATGGCGGGGGTCGTCTAGGATATGATCACACAAACATAAACTACAGAATAGAATAGAATACTTTTTTATTCGAAATAGATTACAAGTGGTTGTTATTGAAAGTTGTGTAAATGAAATAATACATTCGGAAATTATCTGCTAGAAATAGCATTTTGACTAAATGTTTGTCCATACTCACTACTCTGGACAGGTAGTTTGGTGGGCGCAGGTGCCAGTCCATCCATCCATCAACCTTCTTCAACTTTTATCAGATCGTCATTCCACACTGTGGACCTTGCACTGACGTTATAATCACCACTAATGCAACGTAATCTATACTAAACGCACGTTTACACAACTCATCGATCATCACTCCATCATTTCCATACGCGGCAGGCTTCAAGCTTCAGCAGGAGAAGAAGTATACGCAGAACAACAGCATCTATGCACAGCCGGCTCAGCTGGGCGGCACCACGCTGAGTCCCTTGGCGTTGCGGCGGTCGCTGGCGGCCAGGTCTCATAGTGCCGACAGGCATTCCGAACGTGAGTACACTTCCCAGCTGTGGGCTTACTGATAAATGCGTTTTACGAGGCGGTTTTATTTGGTATTTTGTATAAAAGAATGTTAAACTCTTGGTACTATTAATTTTCCTCGCATAACTTCCTTGTGGAATCGACTACCAACACCAATTTTTCCGGACCGATACGACTGTGAAAAAAGGAGCCTACTCTTTTTTTAAAAGGCTGGCAACGCAACTGCAATTCCCCTGGTGTTGCAGTTGTTCATGGGCGGCGGTAGTCACTTACCATCAGGTTAGACGCACGCTCGTTTGCCTCCTCTCCTATAAAAAAGAGTACCTTATACTACGTGAGATAACTAACGAATGGGTTTTTGAAGGCAACTTTGTTTGATATTTTGTTTAAAAGAATGTTACCTTTTGGTAATATTATTATATGATTATGGTCATTGCCAAAGGTCATAGCGGTTAGGATCATTAGGTTATTCGATATATTCGTTTTTTTTAAATATTGTATTGCCATTGTTGCTAGGCTTGGCAGGCATGTTGGCAACATCATTTTTTTGAACTGTTATCAGGAAAATGATGGTGCTCATTTCCTATTTTAGTTTTCCTGTGTCGTCTCTTACGGCACCCACGGGACATTACGAGGCAGTGCATTCTTGTACGTCGTACGTCATGTGTAATGTTTAATCTTAATAATATTGTTACATATGGCCATAATGGTCATTGTCAAAGGTTATAGCGATTTGGTGTGGATAGGTTTATATTACAGTGTAGTGACTGTAAGAATATCCACTACTTCATATCATCCCGCGGGTGTTGTAAAAGACGACAGAGAGAAAATACGCAAGAGCTGGGCGGCAGCGTTTTCCAAATAACAACTAAAATATATAAAACTGTGGTTGCTAACCGGCCTGTCAAACATAGTAACTCTAAATAATATATTTTGCTAGACTGAAACGGATATATTCTTCTTTTTCTGCTCGACAAGTGCGTCTTCCGATGTAGGGAAGACTTGCCATAAATGCCACACTTGGCATGCGACTTAGCGATCTCATCCTTAGAGGAGACTGATACTGGTTCCCTTTGTCGGGTTTTTTGACGCAAACGAAATGGTTATACGTTCAGTTATCATAAGCTATGAGATATTTCTGGCATTTGCTATAGTCGTCTCTTACAGCACCCACTGCTATGAAACTATTAAAACTTGTTGTAAACATACTAAAACAGTAAAGGAAAAATGAAAGAGAGACAGATAGATAGGTAGAGATATTGGCAGAGAAAGCGAGATATTGAGAGATAAAGAGAAGAGAGATTGATAGAGAGAAGGAGAGAGAGAAAGATAAAGAGAGAATGACAGAATATTGAGATAGTGAAAGAGAGAGAGATAGACAAAAAGAGCGAAAAATAGAGAGGAGACTCTTTATTCTAATATTGTTTATAGCATAATTTGATCCACAAATATAAATAAGCATCGAATCTGAAAAAGCTTTTTTCACCTCCTCTTATATTCAATTGTAAATATAATTTATAGAGGTAGTTCGAAGAATAAGAACACCTATCAATGATTAAAATATAAAGTAAACATTTTATAATAGTTTAAATAATAATAAAAATATGTAATTATTGCTTGCAGAAGGCGGACTGATTGCTACTCTCAGTGCAAAACTTGCTCCACAACTTTCGCCGCGAACCTCGAGACGAGTGATTTCGACAATTACGTCCGCTGATACCACGCCTAAAGCAAAAGGTAAGATATACATGATGGTGACGTTACTTTGGCCAATTTCAAGCTATGAAGTTTTTCACGTGCCGCGAGCAACCTGGGTTCGATCCTGGCCGGGACCAAATAATTTCTTAGTTTATTTATTACAGCCTATTAAAAGTCCACTTCTGAATATAGGCCTCCCCCATTTCTCCTGTTCGCTGTGCCTGTTAGCGGACTACATAGGTTTTTAGAAATATTTATATTCTTCATAAATTTCTCACGATGTTTCCTTCACCGCTGCACGTGATAAATCGCCGTAATGTCCCGTATATAAATAGAGCAAATAGTAGGGACGCCCTATAATATCCCGTGGGTGACGTAAAGGCGACAGAGGGAAAATAAATTAGGAGATGGGCAGCAGCATCTTCCTTATAACAACTCAAAAAAGTTCTGTTGTCAACAGCTTTGCCAGGCCTAGCAACAATGGCAATAGAATATGTTCAGCAGTGGACTTTCATATGCTGTAATGACGATGGTTTTTAGATTTTTAGCAGTGGTAGAGCCACGAGGCAGCTTCTGCTGTCGCACGGATGGGCCGGCTCGAACCGGAATGGTAGCACGACCTTACAGAATACCAGCGTGAAGTAGCAGTTTACTTCTGCGTTTCGCGGCCGGATGCTCAATACCCCATCTCCCGCCACCTTAACATGGTAGCGGAATCAAATAAAAAAACACCCTAGGAGGGTACCAGCACCCTTGGTGACGGAGAATCCCTCGCTGATCATTCACGCCCAAGCTAACTTGCTCTTCCTGAGCTTGGGTGCTCAAGCTGCCCTGTAGCGGGGGGTGGGGGGAGGGGCGGACTTACCCTCGTAACTAAAATTGCTCGGGGCAAGCGGAGCAATAAAACCAAGGCGGCCCTTGTCACGCTATCCGTGAATTTTAACAACATCAGGCGACTTCATTCCAACCTTAACGCTGTTCACTACCATCTGGAGACGGCGAAGCCGGCCTTGCTCTTTTTAACCGAGACTCGGGTGTCCTCTCCGACTTATACTTTATATCTCTCCTACCCGGAGTACAAGTTGTGCTTGTGAACACTCCTTTGTGCCCCATGCTGGAGTACGTCAGAGAGGACATCTGTTTTTGACGCCTCGGCAGTCTTGAAGGTTCGGACCTGTCCATTCTTTGGCTGCTCGTAGTCAGTGACGATCATTCCCGTGTTTATGGGTGCCTCTATAGGTCCCATAGCGGTAATGCGAAATAGATCGGCTTATCGGTGATCTTTGGCGATTTTAACGCTCACCACGCCGAATGGTTCGGTTCACGTTCAACCGATCATACGGGGAGATCTCTTTATGACTTTGCCTTGGCATATGGTCTTATATAGCTGGTTACTTCGCCTACGCGGAATCCAGATGTGGAGGATTATGCACCTTCCTTCTTAGATTTTCTGCTGACCTTTCATCCGGATGAATATCAGATCTCCCTCGACGCCTCCCTTGACTCTTCGGATCATTGTCTAGTCCGGAGTGTGGTGCCACTCACGCTAATATAGCAAATGCATTCTGCAGGTTGCCGCCATGTTTGGCACTATAGGTCAGCCGACAGGACACGGTCTTTTTTGCATCTTACCATTGGGGGCGTGTTCACTGGACGACCACAGCGTTGTTGCTGATTCTGTCGTTGATGTGGTACTTCAGAGTATGGAAGTTTTTATTCCATCTTCTATGGTGCCCATCGGAGGCAGATCTCAGGCATGATTTGGTCGCTCTTGTAAAATAGCATCACGCTATAAACAGGAGTGCTATCGGACCTGGAGTGACGCATCAACAACTCGAGATGTAAACAGCAGCGTTCTTAAAAAGAAGTATAATTTCGCTTCCAGGTCCTTTAAAAGAGTCATTGCTTAGGCAAGGTCAGAGCACACAGAGAGTGAGAACCTAGTTCGTCTTCCTTCGGGAACTCATGAATTCTGGTCTCTTGCCACGGTTGTCAAAGGGAACTTCTGTCAGCCATCTCTTCCATCTCTGCACAGAGAGGATGACTTACTGGCCCATGCCATAAAGGAGAAAGCCAATCTGCTAGCCTGTTTCTTTGCGTCCAACTTGACTCTCGATGACGGGGGGAACACACCGCCGACTGTCCCGTGTGCGGCTCACACGCGCTCGGTTCACAAAGCACGAGGAGTGCTTCCCTGGACATTCACAAGTCGTATGGGCCTGACTGAATACCATAATTGTGCTGAGGACGTGTGCTCCAGAGTTGATACCGGTTCTAACGCGTCGTTTTTGGTACTCCTTCTCCCTAGGCGTAGTCCCGAACTCATGGAAGACGGCTTTCGTCCACCCGATCTCTAAAAAAGGCGACCGCGCAGACCCGCCTATCGCCATCACCTCCTTGTTCTCCAAAATAATGGCATCCATTAAATCTGCCAGCTCATGAGGTACCTTGGGGATCACCAGCTGATTAGTGAACTCTAATCATCGAGTGCAGATCGGCTCGATTCACTGGCGCTGCGTAGGGATTCTTTTGAATTTTCTTTCGCTTCTAAAGTGCTCTGAGGAATTGTTGTGTCAAAGTGAATTGTCAAATTTAACGAACGCACATCGCGTCAAAATTCACGATATCATTCTCACCATCTGGATGCTTGACGGTCCACCACTGTGCGTTTTACTAGGTTTTTTTTTCCTCGTACAACTTCTCTGGGGAATTGTTTAGCCCGGCGATTTTTCCGGACCGATACGATTTAGAGACCTTCAGAAAAAGAGAATAAAAGGCCGGCAATACACCTGCAATTCCCCTCGTGTTACGTTTGTTCGTGGGCGGTTGTAGTCACATACCATCAGGTGAGCTGCATGCTTGTTTGCCCCCTCTTCTATAAAAAACAAATTATGGCACAACATGATATCAAACACAAAGTCACAAATAACCCTTATTTTCTGGCTGTGGGATAAGAATTTAAGATGTGTGTCTCGTTTTATTTCCTAGGTAACCTACCTTCAGCCGTACAGCCAGCTTTCCTCGACAAGCTTTCGGCGACCATACAGCAACAGCGACGGCAACTGGATTCTTCAAGAGCCAACACTGTCAGGGAATTGATAAATGCCCATGCTCAGGTATATATAATGTTAATATTTAATTAATTTAAAACAATGATTTACGAGGCATACCATCTTGGTCCTCAAGGGTAACAACGCATCTGCATTTTGATTCTTAATCGATGATAGATGTAGATGTCGATGTGCCATGGCATCCACTTAAAATCAGGTGGACTATGAGCCCGTTTGTCACCCTTATTTTATAAAAATCATGCATAGCATATTTCAATTTGACATAAAACAATGTACCTTAATAATATGAACTGTTATTATATTAATATTATTATTTCCAGCCTGACCCACGAGTTTGCCACACGTCATTAATGGAGCAAATAAAACGCGGTGCAACGTTGCGCCGTAACAAACATTGTAACGATCGATCCGCGCCAAAAATACGCTAGGTTGCTACAAAAACTATTTATAAGCAATATATTGTATACATATAAATGTTATATTATAAATGTAAACCGTCTTTTAAAAATGTTTCGAATTATGGCCCCTTTTCAGTTTTTAATTTTGATTTGACAATTTTTTAATTCTTGCAACTCTAATCAACTGTGAAAATGTTTGAATATTGCCATCATTTACACATTGTTTAATACGGAGTGAGATAGCAGATGGTAGCTTAATAAAAATTGTCAAATTCGAGTTATAAACTTTAGGATTTACAATGTATGTTATATAGAATAGGGCTGATTGATTCCACCAAATAACTAACATCCTAGGTATAAAATATTAACATTAAGACATATCTCTTTTGTAATAAAATTATATAAAATGTCGTCATAGAATCTCATGAAAAAAAAACTATGTGTACGTATGCCATTAATAATAATATGACATATAAAATTAATGTAAGCCTTGGGATGCATATCTATTTTTATATTAAAACAAAAAGTTTTAAATAAAAATGTTTTTACGAAACACCTTATCTCGACTAAGAGCGAAATATACTGAAAAATGAATACATATATCATTATTTAACGTCTGAATTATTTAAGACGGACTTGAACACATTACGAAGTAACTTGCAACGCATATGCACTTTCATTTGGTTGAAGCAAGACTTTTCTATGTATGATTCAATCAATAATATGAATTCACGATTTATAAGAATAGAGATAAGTTAAATGTTAAATATATATTTCCCTCTGCAGGACAGACCTTATATGTATGGGAATAAAACGAAAACAATAACCGGTTTCTAACTTTACATTTCTAATTATTTTGCGCGGTGGTATGAAAAATAGCGACACGTTTTTTATAGCAGAAAGCGCTTAAAATATTAACGAAATCGTATAATACATTTCAGGAGTAACCGAATGAATGTAATACAACTAACTTAATAACAGAAAATGAGATAACAAATAACTTCATCGAAGTATTTTGAGATGTGTTTAGCGTATCTGTAGATTTCATACTACTCTGCCACAGTAAAATTATCGGTTAACTCAAATCATCTATTAATTAACCATAAAAATGTAATATCTAACACTTAACACTGAAATTGAATTATTAGCTGTTATATCGCATGAAATATATAATAAAAATATTTAAACATAACTGTAAGTTCGAAATGACGCCATTTTGATAGTAAAATGGCGGTTACTGACACTTGCCAACAGATTTAAAATACAAGCAAACTAATGTAAAAGTGATTATTGTAATATTTTAAAATGATATATAGAACATTGTTAAGTAGATAGTTTAATAAGTGGGAGGCTAACAATTATTTATTAATTTTCATTCCGCTTTCATACATGATAATAAATTAACAAAACCATAGATATACTTGTTCCTGTATAAAATTTTTCTAATATTGCGGAATCTTTGAAAGCTTTTACATTTATTTTTTGTTTACGAGCGGTACTGATTAAAAATGTTAGTAGTGTGTATGTAAACTATATAAATAAAACTAGTTTTAGGGTAGAGGTTTCATACATATCCAAAATTTATATCTCAATGTCCTTTATATACAACAAATAAATGTTTATAGCGGTTCCTGTCGCTTAAGTGAGAATATTCGAAACACTAGCATGCCTGTAACCTAACAAGTTTCTTATTTTGAGTATTTTTATCGATATTTCGTATTATATGGAATAATAAAATAATAGATGTTCGCGGGATATTTGTTATACAATGTGTTAAGGTAAAGTTTGCGTATGTAATTGATAAGTTGGTGAAAATAAACAAATAGCCCCAAAAGTTGTTTACTTTTTCTCCCGTGCTATTCACATAGATTTCAGCTGCGCGCAATATATTGCTCAGATTAAAGGATTTCGAAAATTTTTGTTCGATTACTATATAAATATAATATATTATATAAATTGTTTTACGGTTTCTATTGCATAAAGTAAGCCCTATTTTGTCCTAGGGGAATAGCCAGTACTTAATACTGATCTTGATTTTCACCTCTTTCTTCTTTGTCGGCCCTTAAAAGTCCACAGTTGGACATTAGTCTCTCCCGTTTTAGGGAGAATTTGCCCTAATCATCACGCCAGACATGCGGTTCTCGCCTCGGTTTGGGTATTGTTACGAGCTTGGGGTTCGAGACAATTAAAAACTCCCGATTGAATTACCAATATTGACACTTTAATTACACAACCTTAATTACAATCTAAAACCATTCAAGGCGACGGCGGAATAGATAGAGCTGTGCAGCATAGGATTAACGCAGGGTGGATGAAATGGCGACAGGTCACAGCCACAACGTGCGATCCCCGAATGCCAATAAGGCTGAAGGGGAAAATTTACAAATCGATCATCCGACCTGTCGTCATGTATGGAAGTGAATGCTGGGCCGTCAAGAAGAAGGATGAAAATAGACTGCATGCGAATGAAATGAGAATGTTACGATGGATGTGTGGTGTGACAAGGATGAATAAGATAAGGAATGAGTATATAAGAGGAAGCCTGAAAGTAGCGCCAGTGGTAGAAAAGGTGAGAGGAAGCAGATTGTCATGGTTTGGGCATGTGATGCGGAGGAATGAAAGTCATGTCACAAAACGAATGTTGAATATGAATGTGGAGGGACACACGGGCAGAGGAAGGCCGAATAAAAGATGGATCGATTGTGTGAAGAGTGATATGAGAATGAAAGGAGTAAGTATGGAAATGACGGCTGATAGAGAGGAATGGAACAAAAAGATTTACTGCGCCGACCCCAGATAATGGGAAATGGTTTAGAGAATGATGATGAATTACAATCTAAAACCACACTAATAATAAAACACAATTGTACTACTGATTACTTAAGTTAGCAGTTGTTTCGCTTCGAAGTATACGCTTGTATCGCCAATTCAATACTGCTTTGGTCGTGGTCTATACCGGCCTTATATAGGGCCTCAGATAGTTTCCAGAATCTTCTACTGTAGTGACATCTAGAATGTTCGAGTACATATCGGTCCCGAAATTTCTGGAAGGATCTTGACTCTCCTAGTTCTGCTACTCGACACTAGAGGGTGCTAGTGTAACTAGTGTTGCCATGTACAAGACATTAATAGTGGCGCGCAACACTGCCCCTTCCTAAGTCATGCTCGTCCCGAGCATTATTGGCCCCATAATAACGCGCCAGTCGATCCACATGGACGATCTTAGGAGTACCTCTGGCACCTTTCTGTATCCGGTAGGTTACGTCATTGATCCTTGTCACAATCCGGTACGGTCCGTCCTATTTAGCTTGAAGCTTAGGAGATTTCCCTTTCCTGCGAGCTGGATTGTGTAACGACACTAGTGAATCTTCGTCAAACCCTTTGTTGTTCATTTTGCGGTCATACCGTGTTTTCATCTTCACAGACGTTTGCTGGCCCGACTGTCTCTGACGTGCTCATAAATGTCATTCATTTTGTTCCGCAAGTCATTTGCATAATCGGTTATACTGCGTGGGGCATCAGGTGGTATTCCGGTGATCAGCTCTGCAGGCAGCCGTAATTCTCTCCCAAAGTTTGCGAAAGCTGGCGTCACTGATGTACTTTCGTGAACAGCGCTTCGATATGACAACAAAAACGGTTGTATGTGCCTGTCCCAGTCTCGTTGCCGTTTTTCCACAATTTTGCCAGGTACCTTTCCAATGTATGATTAAATCGTTCTACCATTCCATCAGATTGTGGGTAGTAAGAAGTTGTTCGTGTTTTATGAGTACCCAAAACTCTGCAAGTTTCCTGGAATATTTGAGATTCAAAATTCCTTCCTTGATCGCTGTGAATCTCTAAGGGTACTCCAAAACGACAGAAGACTTCATGAACTAGTTTATCTGCAACTGTTGAAGCTTCTTGATTTGGAATGGCGAAGACTTCTGGCCACTTAGTGAAGTAATCCGTCACAACCATAAAATACTTGTTACCACTTTCACTTTCCGCAAATGGTCCCGCTACGTCAATGGCTATCCTCTCCCATGGTGCACCAACATTGTACAATTTCAATGCGCCTCTACTACGAATTTGAGGTCCCTTTACAGCCACACAACTTGTACATTTGCGGACCCAGTCCTCGACATCGTCACGACAGTGGACCCAGTAAAACCGTTCTCGAATCTTCAGTAGAGTTCGTTTAACTCCCAGGTGGCCTCCTGAACAACCACTATGGTACAGCTGTAGAACATCCAGTACTTTAGCCTTAGGGACAACCATTTACAAATGACATCTGTCTCCCCGACCATTTTCCCATTTACGGCACAGGACTCCATCCTGAATCAGCAAGCTGTCCCATTGGGCCCAATAGCTTTTCGTGGTCGAACTCATTGCTGAGACGTCGCTCCACTTGGGCTTAGGAGCACTGGCCTTTATCCATTCCAGAATCGGCTTAATGTCCGAATCTTCCTGCTGTGCATGTTGTAGGCTGTCCTTCCACTCATTGCTGAGCTGGTCTGACCTGAGCATCCTCCAGATACCACTTCCTTACCCTCTTGCCTAGTACAATGCTTGCAATCTTCAGGGCAAGGTCTTCTCGACAATGCATCTGCATTGCCATGAGATTTCCCCCTGCGATGGTCGATCACAAAGTCGTATTCCTGCAGTAGTTCAATCCATTTCGCAACTTGGCCTTCCGGATTTTTGAACTGCAATAGCCATTTGAGTGCAGCATGGTCAGTTCTTAAGTGGAATTTCCGCCCCAGAAGATATTTGCTAAAATGCTGCAAGGATGCCACAGCAAGCAATTCCCGTCTTGTGACACAATAGTTCCTTTCCGGCTTTAACAACGACTTGCTGAAGTACGCTAACACAATCTCTTGATCACCATTCCGTTGAGACAACACACCGCCAAGTCCTATATCACTTGCGTCTGTGTCAACTATATATTCCTTACCCGCATCAGGGTATCCCAAAATAGGTGTTTTGCACAGACGGTTCTTGAGCTCCTGGAATGCAATATCGCAACTTTCATCCCAGCAGAAATGTCGCTTCTCCACGGTTAGCTTGTGCAGAGGTTTGGCTATATCTGCAAAGTTCTTCACAAATCGCCTATAATAAGAGCACAAACCCAAAAATGCTCTAACCTGTGTCTTGTCTTTTGGAACCGGCCACTCCTTGACAGCGGCAATTTTCTCTGGATCCGTGCATACCTTCTTCCGATACTACATACCCCAAAAAGCTAACTTGCCGTTTGAATAGTGAGCACTTCTTCGGACTCAACTTGAGGTTGGCACTCTGGATCTTCATGAGCACGCGTTCCAGGTTTTGAAGGTGTTCCTCAACGTACGGCCTACGATGATAATGTCATCCAAGTAGACCAGACAGGCATCTCCAATTAGCCCGGTAAGTACAAGCTCCATCAACATTTCAAACGTTGCTGGAGCATTGCACAATCCAAACGGCATGACTTTAAATTGCCAGAGACCCTTTCCTGTGGAGAATGCAGTTTTCTCCTTGTCCTTAGGGTCAATTTCAACCTGCCAGTAGCCGCTTTTCAGGTCCAGCGCACTAAACCACTTTACGCCTGTGAGCATGTCCAGCGTGTCATCAATTCTAGGCAAGGGATAGCTATCCTTCTTCGTAACGTCATTCAGGCGGCGGTAGTCAACACAAAACCGCATGCTGCCGTCCTTCTTCTTTACCAGCACCACAGGTGAACACCATGGACTAGATGAAGGTTCAATAACACCATCCTTAACCATTCCCTCAATCATGGTTTCTACTTCCTTTTCACGTGCTACAGGCAATCTATTTGGCCGCTGACGAATAGGCAATTCTTCTCCTGTATTTATTTTGTGTTGAACTACGCCAGTCTTTCCTATGTCAGCTTCGTTTGACGAGAAAACATTGGCGTACTTGAGTAACAACTTCTTCGCCTTGACCATTTCATTCGGGGAGAGATGCCCATGACAGTGTTCTAAAAGTGTGGTCACTCTCGTTTGTCCATCCTTGCTGGGGGTCCCAGTCGATAGATATTGGCACCGACGCAACCAATCCACTTCCTCACTAGTACCAACCAATGTGCCTTTTTCTATAATCTGTTACTGATCACAAAGTTTCGGCACACGTACTCCTGAGATGTCGGCGTTTCTGACCAAGGTTCGAGCCACTATCCATGGAAGGTCATTGTCTACCCTTTCCACGAGTACACAACGAAGAGTTTGCCCAGGATTCCGAGGAAGTCTAACCGGCACAATCGTTTCCGATCTCGGCGGAAGAATAATCTTGTTAAGGCTGTACAAATTCCCTTCCACGAAAAGTTCCTCTTGGCCATATTTCAAAACACCTTGCTTAACGTCGATCTCACAACAATTCTTCCTCATAAAGTCTAAGCCCAGGATGCAGTCGTCCATTATATCAGCCACGATAACATTATGCAGGTAGATCATGTTGCCTAGTTTCAACTCCATCTCCTTCTCTCCATGGACGGGTATGCGCTGACCGGTGGCTGTCACCAAATTAATGCGTTCTCGGTTGTATGCGGAGTTCCCCAAGGAACCGACTTATAAGTTGGGAACTGACAACCGTGCGAGAGGCTCTAGTGTCTATGGTCAGTTTACATGGCGTTCCGTTGACGTCGCCCTCGATGATTAGGCTGTTCCCATCATGGGGATAGATCGTGAGATCGAAATTCTTGGGGCTCATTTAACATCAGCTAGCACCCGCACCGCAGTCCTGGCTTTTACTCGTTTCCCTGCTGCTGCTGGGCAACCCTCTCGAGATCGATCACCTTCCCTTTCTACAGTTGGCTTAGGGCAGCTGGATCGAAGATGGCCCCTTTCCCCACAGCCGTAGCACCTAGGGCTGTAGCCGTTATTGCGGTCCTGCACTGTAGCTGCTGCAACCTCCTTGACGCGGTGGGAACGATGATCCTGCCGCACGGCTTCCAACTCCAGTGCATGGCTCAAGGCGTCCTTAAGCGTCTCGTGGTGCCTGAGCCTCACAGCAGCTCTGACTTCAAGGTCGCAGATGCCGTCGATGAATGTCTGCATCAGGTTCCCTACAATGAGTGCAGGTACAGACTGGTACGCTTTTCGAACCAGCTTCTCCACCTCAAGGGCCCACTGCTGCAGGTTTTCGTTACTGCGTTGCACGCGATCTTTGAGCTGCGCACGAAAGACGTGTTCCAGGTGAGCGTCACCATATCTCGCCTCCAATGCCTCAAGGAGCTGCTCGTAAGTCACTTCCTTACCGAGAGCTTCCAGAATAGTTAAGGCCTTTTCGCGCAGGCCTAGGGTGAGAGCAGTCATGGCCTGACTTTTATTCCAGCCGTTCGCTTTTATGACAGCCCCGAATTGGATTTTGTAGGCCGACCAGGAAGAAGCCCCGTCGAACGGTGGCACTTTGAATCCACGTAGCGAAGGTGTTGTAGCTACCACGGGAGCTGTAACTCCATCCCTAATTTTGAGGTCATCCAGCGTTTTCTTCACGTCAACCATCACGTTGTCAACCCGATTGTTTACTTGGTCGATTCGGGTTTCAGCTTCCGACAGGCGGTTGTCATGTTAAGCAACCCTATCTTTCACCTCCTTTATCTCTTTCCCGAAGGCAGCGTGAAGGTCCTTCATGAGGAGCATCTGCTCTTCCTTATCGCATTTGAGCTGCTTTTCCAAGCAACGGGCCTGTTCCTCCTGTCCGCGCTGCAGCTGCTCTTCCAACCGAGGGACCTGTTCCTTCTGTCCACGCTGCAGCTGCTCTTCCAACCGACGGGCCTGTTCCTCCTGTCGGCGGGCCTGATCCTGCAGCATCATCATCAGAGCACCAAGTCAGGTGCTGCAGGTGCAGGAGCTGCTGACGGGCCGGCCTCCGTGGTCAGCAGCTGGCCCTCCGACGTTTGCGGCGTTGAATTACCAAATCGTCTCTGGACCGTCTCCAGCTGGAGTTGACTTTGGGTATGGATACCCTCCATGTCGTCTTTTGGTAAAATCGGCATGACTTGATCCCCCTTCAGACACCAATTGTTACGAGCTTGGGGTTCGAGACAATTAAAAACTGCCGATTGAATTACCAAAATTGACACTTTAATTACACAACCTTAATTACAATCTAAAACCAGACTAATAATTTATTTATTTATTTAAGCCTTTATTTCCTAAAAAAGAAATACATAAAATTAAATATTTAACAAAATTTCATTTACATTTACAAAACCAATCATGCTTCAAAGAAAACTTCAACAAAATTTGCCAGAATTTAGAATAAATTTTAAAAATCATGCTCAATAAATCGTTATATAATATCCTTAAAATAAAATATCAATTAACTACAGTTTATAATTATCAAATATAAAATAAAGAAATGCGATTACATTATTAAACAATTTAAATCCATTAATAATAGTAACATTAATAAAATATGTAATAATAACAATAATAAAATATGTAATGGTTAATTATAACATGTTATGAAAATCAATTTACAGCAGATTACTTATGATTACATAATATTTAAATTATAACTTTTTTTTTACTAATCATTGATATATTTTTTTCTTATTTATTTGGGTACCCATTTGCGGGTGAAGGCCTCCTTCATCTTTTGCCATTTTTGTTTATCTTGTGCGAGTCTCATCCAGGTGTGGTCAGCTGTGGTCACAATGTCATCACACCACCTGCGCCTGGGCCTACCGCGTGGCCGTGGTACTTCGCGAGGGTACCATTGGAGGACTCTCTCACTCCAACGTCCATCTGTAGCTCTTGCAACGTGGCCTGCCCATCTCCATTTTAATTTACATGCTAGTTCTGCAGCATCTATTACTTTTGTTGTTTTCCTTATTTCTTTATTTTTTTGTCTATCTCGTAACTTAAAGCCTAACATGTTTCTCTCTATTGCACGTTGAAAGACCTGAAGTTTGTTTATTATTGTTTTTGTTAGTGCCCAGCTTTGACAGCAATAGAGTAGTGTTGGAAGAATAATAGTATCCATTGCTTTCTTTTTTAGTCGCGTCGGTATAGGAGACTTAAATATTTCTTTTAGTGACCAGTATTTTCTTCAAGCACTTTTTATTCTGCGGTCGACTTCATTTTCGACTATATTTCGACTTCAAGATAGACATACTGTTATCTACATACTCTATCAATGTATTTTGCACCTTCATAGGCACTCTAACGCTGTTAGTTAGGAGACTCGTTTTTTCTCTACATTTATTTTTATGCCAATATTATGCCAATTAACTTGTCTAAAAACATGTTCTAAAATTGCGTTAAATAAATACGGCG